CAGATACCCAGACAATCATCTATACCTATTATGAAAACTTATATTCTAATAATATGGAAAACATAGAATAAATGGACAGATTCCTAGATACATATGAATTACCAGAGTTGAGCCAAGAAGATATAAAAATCCTAAATAAACCAGTATCAACAAATGAAATCAAAGATGTAATTAAAAACCTATCAACAAAGAAAAGCCCAGGCCCTGATGCATTCAAAGGATCCAACTAAGAAAGAGAATTATAGGCCAGTTTTCCTAACGGACATTGATGGAAAAATCTGCAAACAGAATTTAGCAAATCAGTTGAGTGTGGTGATGTATGCCTGTAATCCCAGCATGCCTGTAATCCCAGCACTTGGGAAAATGAAGCAGGAGGATCACTGCAAATTCAAGACCACCCTGGGTTACAAAGTGCTTTAAGGCTAGTATGAACTGCATAATAAGACCCTGTCTCAAGAAGCAGCAAATCATCAAGCAGATTATATATCAGGATCAAGTGGGATTCATCCTAGGGAGACAGGAAGAGTTCAACATACGTATATCCATAAATGTAATATACCATAGTAAAAGAGTCAAGGACAAAAATCATACAATCATCTCAATAGATGCAGAAAAAGCTTCTGACGAAGTCCCACACCCATTCATGATAAAAACTCTGTAGAAAATGGAGTAGATGGTCTTTATCTCAATCTGATTAAAGCCATCTATGACAAACCAAGAGCCAGCATCATACTAAATGGACAAAAAGAAGCTTTCACTCTAAAATCAGGAACAAGACAAGGATGTCCACTGTCTCCACTTTTATTCAATACAGTCCTGGAAACTTTAGCTGGAGCAATTAAGACAAGAGAAAGGAATAAAAGCAATAAAGATAGGAAAGGAAGAAGTTAAACTATTATTATTTGCAGATGATATGATACTTTACATACAAGACCCCAAAAACTGCATCAAAAGACTGGATTTAATAAGCAAATGCAATAATGTAGCTGGATACAAAGTCAACATGTAAAAATCAATAGCCTTGGGGCTGGGGATTTAGCTCAGCAGCATAACCGCCTGCCTTGCAAGCAGGTAGTCGTGAGTTCGATCCCTGGTACTGGTAAAAATGAAAAAGACCAAAAAAAAAAAAAAAAAATCAATAGCCTTGCTGTATAGGATTAATAAATTCACTGAGAGGAAAACAACAACAACAATAGCATCCACAAAAAATGAAATAACTGCTCATCAATCTAACAAAGGATGCAAAAGACCTCTACAATGAAAACTACAGTACTCTGAAAAAGGAGTTTGAAGAGGATATTAGGAAATCTCATGCTCTTGGGTAAGAAGAACTAATATAGTGAAAATGGCCATACTTGCAAAACACTTATACAGATTCAATGCAATCTCAATCAAAATTCTAACAGTGCCAGATGTGGTAGCAACACCTGTAATCTCAGCACTTGGGAGGCTAAAGCATGAAAATTGTTGAGTTTGAGACTAGCCTGCCCTACAAAGTGAGCTAAAGGCCAGCCTGAACCGCCATAGTGAGACCTTGTCACAAAAAGAAAAAAAAAATTCTGATAGCATATCTCACAGAATTAGAGAAAACAAAATTCATCTGGAACCAGAAGTCATCTAGAATAACAAAGGCAATTCTGGACAACAAAGACAAGACAGGGAGCATCACATCCCTAATGAGAGTATAAAGCTACAGTGATAAAAATTGTGGTACTGGCAAAACGCAGACTCAGAGATCAACGGAACAGATTAGAAGATGCAGAAAGAATTCTAGACACACTAAGCCATCTTATCTTTGACAAACGTGCCAAACACATTCACTGGAAGAAACGTAGCCTCTTTATTAAATGGTGCTGGAGGGGTTGGGGATTTAGCTCAGCAGCACAAGCGCCTGCCTTGTAAGTAATTGTGAGTTCGATCCCTGGTACCGATAAAAAAGAAAAAGACAAAATAAATAAATAAATGGTGCTGGGAAAACTGGCTCTACATATGCCAAAGATTAAAACCAAACCCTTACCTTTCACCATGTACCACACTAAAATCGGAATGTCTCAAAGAGTTTAATATTAAAACAGAAAACATGAAATCAACTGGAAGATAGAATAGGTAAAACTTTTTTGTCTTTTTGAGACAGGGTCTCACTACACTATTTAGGCTGGCCTTAACTCACTTTGTAGCTCAGGCTGGTCTTAGTTTGCAATGATCCTCCTGCCTCAATCTCTCAAGTGCTGGGATTACAGGTGTGTGCAACCATGCTCGGCTTCTTTCTTTCTTTACTTACTCATTTTTGGTACTGAGGGTCGAACGCATGACCTTGCACTTGCCAGGCAGGCATCGTCCCACAGATCTATATCCCCAGCCGTTAAAACTGTTGAAGACATTGGTGTAGGAAAAGACTTTAAACATTAAATTGAACAAGAACTACCACGAAGAATCAACAACTGGGATCTCATCTTATTGAAAAGCTTTTGCACAGCAAGAGAAACCACCAACAGAGCGGCAAAAGGACAATCCACAAAGTCGGAGATAATGTTTCCCGTCTGTTCCTCAGACAAATCAAGAACATATAAAGAACTAAAAAAATCAGCTCTCCCAGATTTAAAGACCCAATCCAAAAATGGGCATCTGAGATAAACAAAGGGTTAGCTCAGTGGTATTTAAGTGCCTGCTTGGCAAACATAAAAGTCATGAGTTTGATCCCCGGTACTTTAAAAAAAAAAAAAGAAAGAAAGAAAGAAAGAAAGAAAGAAATACAAATAGCATAATATGGGGCTGGAGATTTAGCTCAGTGGCATAAGTACCTGCCTTGCAAGCAGGCGGTCGTGAGTTCGATCCCCGGTACCGATAAAAATGAAAAAGACAAAAAAAAAAAAAAAAAAAAAAAAAAAAAAAAAAAACACCAAACAAACAAACAAACAAAAACAAATAGCATAATGTTCAATATCACTGATCATTCAAGAGGTGCAAATTAAAACAATACTGAGATTCTACCTCACCCCAGAAAGAATGGCTATTATCAAAGCAATAACAAATGCTGATGCGTCTGTGGGGAAAAAAGGAACTCTTCTCTACTGTTGGTGGGAGTACAGACTACTGTAACCACTGTTGAGATCAATGTGGAAGTTCCTCAAAAAAGTAGGACTAATGGTCCCATTCGACCGAGCTATTTGACTTCTGGGTATCTTCCCAAAGAATTAAAAACATCATACCACAGCAATATGTGTGCACCCATATTTATAGCAGCACAATTTGTAGTAAATATATCTTGGAAATATCCTAAATGCCCATTGACTGAGGAATGGATAAAAAAGATGTAGTGGTATTTTTATATAGTGGAGTACTACTCAGCCATAAAGGATAACTAGAGACTTTTACAGGTAAATGGATGTAACTTGAGTATACTCATTAGTAAAATAAGAAGACACACATGGGTAAACATCATTATTTCTCACTAGTGAGAAGCTGAAAGAAACAACATTTGTATATATGTATATGTATATAAAAAAGATAGTTAACATAGCTATATTACTGATTTCTCTGAGGTCATTGAAGAGAATGATTTGTGTTGATACTGTTCAGATCACTGCATACAAATGCTTGTGCTCTGGGTGAATGACTTGGGGATAACAATGAGCAACATTGTATCATTGTTGACCCCTGACTGACCAGTTTTGAAATTTAAAAAATATTTTTTCTCAGGCTGGGGATTTAGCTCAGTGGCATAAGCACCTACCTGCCTTGCAAGCAGGCAGTCATGAGTTCGATCCCTGGTACCAATAAAGAGACAAAAAAATTTTTTTTTCTCTTTGAAATAAAATGGATTTGACAAAAGAAAGAAAGAAAAAAAACAAAGCAAAGGAGAACAGAACAAAGAATATGTGACAACAACATGCCAGTTATCATGTATCCTGCAAAGCCAATAGTATTTACTATCTGGTTCTTTGTCCTGAATTTACACTACCAATGTGTATAGAGTAAATATTTTTACAGTGTCCAGTGACATAGAATCTGGGCCTGTCTGTTCAATAGAGCATTTACCTTTAATTAAAATGCAATAAAAGTTAATATTCAATTCTTTGGTCACAACTGCTACATTTCAAGTACTCAATAGTCACATACGGGTAACTGACAGTGTTGCACAATGCAGATATAAAATATTACCATTATCATAGGAAGTTCTATTGGAGACCACTATCCTACTATCAGTATCTACAATCAGCACCTTCTAGTTTCTTATTTATCATCAAATACGTAATACTATCATTTCAAACACTTTCTCTCAATTTACATGTATTTGTCACCTTGTAAACATTTCCAGCTATTCACATGGTCAAGAATTCTACTGCTTTGAACCTAACTTCTAATTTTCAAAATCTTACCACATATTGACTCCCCATCTCTGGAAATCATCTCTCCATGTTCTACTTCAAAAGTGGTCTTCTCTATGAAACCTACTTTATTCTCCATGGCTAACAGCATCAAGTCAGCTCTCCCTTCTCTGTGTTACCATTTATCCTATCTTGTATTTCAGTTACTAGCATATATTAACCATTTCCTTTTCTGGACTGAAAACACCTCTATAGGGGGACTCTGAACGATCTGCTCTGAGCCTTGGGTACAAGACAATCGAGGAATATGATTAATCCGATTCTAAATGAAACTGACTCCAACTTTAATACCTAGGGTAAATCTCTGCTTTGGTCTTTATCCAACAGCTTTCATCTCTGTTAACGTCTAATAAATCTATTTTTTAAAAGCTATCTCTAAAATTCCAATCAACAATAATTTATTCCCAAATTCTAGTATTTAAATAAACAGTAAGAAAGGTTTTAATTTAACCCTGAATACTGAATATAGAAAGATTTTTTAAAAATTAATTTGTGGCATATTAATGGTGACTTTTTAACGTTATACCTTGCAGACAACCAAAACGTTGCTGCGCACCCTGACCCGACACTGTAAATAATTCATGGCGAGGCAAGAATTTAAACATCACTCACCTCTGTCACTTCATTTACAGCCAAAAGCGCACGTCTGAACTACAAACGCCTGAGCTCCTGGGGACAAGACGCGAGGGTGTGAAGAACAGCCGCGAGCCTTGACAGAAGACGGCGCGGTGAGGCGACCAGAGGGCGACCGAACGCCCAGGGAGGGCAGAGACGCGCGAGGAAAAGGCCGGCACAGCTCCGGTGGAGGCGAGCCGACCCCAGCCTCACGGCTGCCGCTGCCACCTCCGGCCTGGCGCTTTCCTAGTCCGCCAGGGAGCGAGAGCGTTCCCCACCTCAGACCGCAGGCCCCAACAAGGGCTCGGACAAAAAAAAAAAAAAAAACCCAGGCCCACCCAGGAGTCCGGCTCCTTACCCGCTGCAGCCCACCAGCTCAAACTGTTTGGGGTCCGCGCGCACCTCGGAAAAAACGTCACCTCCCCACACCCAGTCAGCCTCAGCAGAAGATTCAAATCTAACCGCCCAGCTGTGGCGCATGCGCATAGCCGCTCCACGCGACGGCCCCACCCCTTGTAGCCCCGCCTACTCCGCTCCTAAGAGTCCTTGCGTTAGAATTCTTTGCTGCCCTAGATGCCAGTGCGGTTTCGTTGTTTATCTCATTTTCTATCGAATTTTCTTCATCTGTCTTGAATGTAGACTTCCTCACATCACGGGAGCAGCCATCTTCTTTCAATTATCTGCTGTGGTGATTGTACGGAGGTTTCCGTACAAAATGGCGACTTTCACAAGTTGCGTCACGTCCCTCTAGTGTCACTCCCTATAGTAATCAGGAAGAGACAAGCTCCGGAGACGAGGTGGCCGAGTGGTTAAGGCGATGGACTGCTAATCCATTGTGCTCTGCACGCGTGGGTTCGAATCCCATCCTCGTCGGTAGGCAAGTTGTTTTGCTCTACGTTTATAACCAACGAATGTAAATTTATTTCGAGATCATATAATTGAATATTCTGTTTCATTCTCCACTGCTGGTTTGACCAAATATAAAACCTCCCAGTTGTGAGGTTTCCATTATTACAGACTCTTGCCCTAGAGTTTTCGTATCCGAACCAGACTTCACTACAAAAGCTACCGCGACACGTAGAGTTCGACATTCTCTTCCAGGCTACAGGTATTCAAGCAATGAATACGCTAGGAAACGTTAAAAAGATGTTGACCCTGCTACGCGGGAGACTGGGACAGGAAAATCGCAAGTTTGAGGCCAGCATGGGAAATTTAGCAAGACCCTATCTCGAAAATTAAAAGGCTGGGGATATAGTACAAGACTACCTTGGCTTACATGTGAGTTTAAGACCAGCCTTAACCACATAGTGGGGCCCTGTCTAAAAAAAAAAAAAAAAAAAAAAAAAGAAGGAAAAAAGGAAAAGGAAAGAAAAATGAAAAGATGAAGAAAAAAAGAAAGAAAAACCAGAGTTTGAAGACAACCACCAAGAACATGCCTCCTTCCAAGAGGACTCTTAAGGGGCGTTAAATCCCCTCCTAGATTCAACCTGAGGAGGAGCAGGGAAAGAGTAGATTCACCTCTTGCAGGTTTACTGAGGCAAAGTCATTCAGTTCACACCTTACTACTTTGTTTATCCAGCCCTTATCTACAGGCGCAACATGTTCCATGAGTTACATCACTTAACCCACCATAATCCTGTGATTGTGGTAGATACTATTTTTCCACTTCATGGACAAAGATACTAAAAAATTAACTTGCTCAATGTTAAACAATTTCTAAATTGCCAAAAGGAGACTGAACTCAGATCCTTGGACTCTGGTGCCCCTGAACTACCAACCTACATGATGCCTCATCATTCTCTTGCATTGCTGGTTTATAGGCTCTTTCCCCTATGAAGGGTCCTACAGCACAGTACTGGAAAGCCCAGCACAACACAGCTGCCTCTGTTAGGTTTGGGGAGGGTGAGTCCCCTCTTATATCAAATCCCCTGGAAATGTTGATACCTTCATTGCCTGAGAACTTTAGATGCCTGTCTTCAGCCTGGCTCTCCAATTCATTCTGTATGCTGCTGCTAGGAAGGGTTCATGTCCCACACACTCCTAAAGGATCAGTGGACAAAACGGTGGAGTTTTTTTGTTTTGATTCTGGAGACCAGATACCAGGCCTTGCACTGAACGACATCCCTAGTGTCGCTTCACATACCACTGCTTAAATTTTTTTACATTTTGACACAGGGTCTCACTAGGTTCAATCATTAAGTTCCCCAGGAGGAGCTTAAATGTGTAATCCTTTTCCTGCTGTTGTTGTTACATTATGTACTTCAGGTTGGCCTTCAGCTCACAGCAATCCTCTTGCCTCAACTTCCAGAGTAATGGGCTTACAGGCATGCAAAATCATGCCTATTGTGCCTAGTGACTATTTGATTGAGAAAAAAGATTATACCCTAATTTTCATATTCTAATTGAAAGTACTGCCTTCATAAAGATAAACAAAAGACTGTAGTAATTTTAACCTTACTTTGTAACCAATAAAAATCAGATATTTGTATATCACGGTGCTATTATTGCTTTATACTTATGACTTGAATGTGTCCCCCAAAGTTCATGTAGTGGAAACCTGGTCCCCAATACAGCAGTGCTAACAGGTCAGACCTTGAAAGGCAAGGCAGCACCTTTGTGAATGGATAAAATGCTCACTGGTTATCCAATTACCACAGGACTGGTCTGTCATAAAAATCACTTCTCTCTGCAGGTGTGTTCTGTCTGGCCCTCTACCATGTTATAGCACAGCGAGAAAACCCTCACCAGATTTCCCAGCCTGTAGGACTGGGAACCAAATAAACCTCTATTCTTCATAAATTATCCAGTCTCAACCAGGTGTGGTGATGCACACCTGTGATCCTAGCATTCAAGAGGCTGAGGCACAAGGATCAAAAGTTTGAGCCTGGGTAACTCAGTAACTCAGTGAGATCCTGTCTCAAAATTAAAAATTAAAAGAAGGGCTGGAGATGAGGCACAGTGCAAAACCCCTGAAGTTAAACTCCAATACCACCACCACCAAAAATAAATTAAAAATTAATTTAAAATTACCCATTTTCAGTATTTTGGTTATAGTAACAGAAAACAGAGAAAGACAATGTTCATCATTACTTCAAAATTATGGTAATTATTAGACTTAATTTTTGTGATGTTATGTGTTCATGAAGAAATACATCAATCACGTAATTATAATGCAAACTCTAAAAACATTTTGATAGTTGTATTCTAGTATGTTCTGTTGTCTTTGTATTCCAACATGTTGACAACTCTCTTCTAGAGATGTAGCTTAGGGTAGATCACTTGTCTACTATGTGCAAAAACCTGAGTTCAATCCCCAGTACTGCAAAAACAAAGGAAAACAAAAAATAAACAGCTTTCTGAGATAGAGTTAGCTTCAGTTTGCAAAAAGAGGATCTGGGTTACAGAAAAGATTAAGAGCTGTTACTATTTTCTTTGTCTTTTTCATCTTCTTCAGATTGAACCCAAGTCTTTATACTGAGATACATTCCCAACCCGCTCCCTTCCATTCTTTAAATTTATTTCTTTATTTTTGTTTGATTGTTTGTTTTTTGAAACAGGGTCTCGCTGTGTAGTTCAGGTTGGTTGTAGTTCAGAACTCACTGGCCTTGAACTTGCAAAGATCTTCAGATTACAGGTACTTGCCACCATGTCCCATTTTTTGGTTGGTTGGTTGGTTTCTTTTGAAATGCGGTCTCACTAAATCACTAAATTGAGTCACTTCATTACTCAGACTGGACTCTAACTTGCTATCTCCTACCTCAGCATCCCACAGTGCAGAATGGTGGCAAATGGGGCTGGGGATTTAGCTCAGTGGCATAAGCTCTTGCCTTGCAAGCAGGCAGTCGCAAGTTCAGTCCCTGGTACCGGTAAAAAGGAAAAAGACCAAAAAAAAAAAAAAAAAAGAATGGTGGCAAGTACCACTACACAGGCAGAACCCTCTGAAATCACCCTGGGGACCCTAATCTTATGCTTCTCTGAATGAGGGCTGGTCTGTCTCCACTGCTCCCTGTAGATGCTGTCCCTGTTTCCCTCCTGGGATAGGCCTCTGCCCCTCCTCCTCTCCAGCCTGTCTCTAGCTGGTTCATGCTTATCTTTATCAGTAGACCCCTTGCAATTTGCAGCTTCCTCCATCTCCCTCACCAGTCTCTATACTATCTCTTACTTCTCTCTGGACTCCGATGCCCTGTAGATGTTCCTGTTGTGGATATTTCCCCAGCAGCCAGGCTGTACTGAAATTGCCCAGCAATCCCACAAGCTCTCTAAAGATCAGCAGGGCTGCACCACTTTCTGAGCTTTGCTGGCTTCTTGCAATGATGACTTTCTTGGAAAACCTGAATGGGTCCAGTTTCTACAAATAAAAAGTGTGCGGACTGTTTTCTTTAAAAGAATTCTCAGCTGAGTGTGGTGGCATATGCCTGTAATGCACTTTGGGAGGCTGAGGCAGGAGGACAGCAAGTTTGAGGACACACTGGGCATTTTAACAAGGCCCTGTCTAAAACAAAATAAAACAAAACAAAAGTCCAAGTGTGGTATCACATACCTGTAATCCTAGCACTCTGGAGACTGAAACAGGAGAGTTACTACAAATTTGAGGCCAGTCTGTGAGTTGAAAAATAGCCTGGACAGCCTATTGAGACCCTGTCTCAAAAAAAGAAAAAAAAAAAAAAAAAACAGACAACAATAAAAAAGTAGCCATGTAGCTCAGTACAAACTGAGTAAAATCCCCAGTACCTCAAAGCAAAACAAAACCAACCAACCAAAAAACAAACAAAATATCAGCTGCGTAAGTTCTGAAAATACAATGCACCGTTTAGGAAGCTGAGGCAGGAGAATAGGCATTTGAAGCCCTCTTGGACTACATAGTTGGACCCTGTTTCATAAATAAAAGAAGTATTTATTACTGGAAGTTCAGTTGACAAATTCCAATTCCAGTCCCTGCGTCCTTTTCTTCTTTCATGTTTAGCTGTTTTTCTGTAGCTGTAGTTTCTTTCATACAAAAGTAGTTTGCTAAGGCTGAGGAATTAGCTCAGTGGCATAAGCACCTGCCTGGCAAGTATGAGGTTGTGAGTTTCACCCTCAGTATAAAAAAAAAAAAAGGACTTTGACTTGCTACACAGTAAAGTTTTTGTATTTCTGATAATCTGTACTCTCATTCGTTTTTTTCTAAGAGAAATTAAAGAGTTGAGAACCTGCCAAATTATTATTATTCTTTTTAAGATCATGACCTTGACACTTTTTTTTTCCTTTTTTCCGGTACCAGGGATCAAACTCACAACCACCTGCTTGCAAGGCAGGTGCTTATGCTACTGAGCTAAATCCCAGCCCCCCCCCCTCCGCCAAATTATTTAACATCCAGAAAAACAAACACTTCAATTAACAATGGCAAACAATATAGACAAACTTAGGGTGATGAAAGAGTTAGGGGCGCCACCTACTGGAGAAACTGAGGCTGCATGACCTGGACAAGATTCTACAGGAACGCTTGAAATTTTGGGAAAGACCATTACTCCGCAAAATTCACCAGTAAACTTGGTGCAAAGAAAGCATTCTCCATCAATATTAAGATTCTTTCTGAATCTTGCAGGACTCCTTAGTTTCTGGGGGTCCATAAGAAATGAGCACTGAACAACTGTATCATGAAGATAGTGTGTCTCTCTGTGTCTCATCCTCTTCTTCCTTCTCTATACTCTCATCCT